TGATCGGGGTTCATTTATACTGGCTGCCTCAATTCAGACCACAGCATGATAATTAATTGTGAATGAGTCCAGTTAACTCACATTTGAGGTAGGAGCCTTTCACTTACGAAGCATAATACGTATAGACTTAAGTAAAAGAGGTAATAAAAGTTCCTTAAAAGTCACAATTGAATTTGAAATCCCCAGTGTGTGGGTTGAACTAAACTAAAGCAACATGAAAAAATGAATGAGCCTTATTCCCAAAAGCTAGGGACTGCCCTTTAACCTCTATGAAAAACATGCAGAGATTCATAGAGATTTAGGTCTTGCTAAGAGTTACTCTGAAGAAACCGAAGTTTCCCTTCAAGAGCCCAGGGTGTCTCAATCTTCCTTACATATTAAAGGTACCTGGAGAGCTTTTAAAACCCTCTGAAGACAGGGTCCCCACCTGATCCACTAAATCAGAATCTTTGTGGGTGGAGATCAGGCAGGTGATTTTCACCAGCAGCCGGGTTGAGAACTACTGACATCTTCCCTCATACAATCATCAATGGTCTTACCAGGTTAGGGAGGGCTCAGCCATCAGCCTGTTTACTATCATCTTGTGAATGCCCAAAATCATTCACAGCACAGCATATACAAACCTTTAACCTTATGTAAGCTTTTGTCTTAGCTATCAATACTTGGCATAGTTCACTAAGCAATTAGTAGAAAATCAGAAAAAAATCAAGCAACGTAGGCACAGTGCTTAAGGAAATTAGTGAAAGAAAACAATGCAGACAAAAACAAGAAAAAGTGATATTAGAAATAAAAGTTCCTGAAATTTACAAGTATAGCCAATATTAACTCACCCATTAATATTTAGGATGATATATATTAACCACAATGACAATGGTAGTATCTACCAGTTTTTCTTTCTTACTAAGTAGCTTTATATATTAAACTCAATCTTACAATTCTATGAAAGAGAATACCCCATTTTAGAGATGAAGAAATAAGGCTCCTGATGACTTATTTTAAGTCATAAGGCTCCTGATGACATCATTTTGCCTGATGTAACCTAACTAGTGACTGAATTAGGTTTCAAAAAGATTTACTGATTCCAAAAGTGTCTCAAAGGCAATTTGATTTAGTTATAACCCACCATCATCCAAGGGCTCAGCCTACAGCCTCGAGCTATAGTTGGAGAGAGGGGATGGGAGTGGGTATATGAATTGTCGTAAGTGACTTTTGGGTCTATGCACTCCTGATTTAGGGGGGAAAATCACTTATTTTTTAAATTGTTGAGCCAGGTTTAATTTCTAACCTCTCAGATGGGCTATATAAATGTCATTCCGGCCAGTTTCAAACTGTCTTTCCTAGAAGCAGCTTTTGTTCATGGACCCAATTTGCCAAGAATTCCCAATATCTTTGGAGCAAGAAAACTGAAATTTGCCCTAACTGGTTTGGCTCAGTGGATAGAGTGTTGGCCTGAGGACTCAAGGGTCCCAGGTTCGATTCCAGTCAAGGGCATGTACCTTGGTTGCGGGCACATCCCCAGTAGGGAGTGTGCAGGAGGCAGCTGATTGATGTTTCTCTCCCATCGATGTTTCTAACTCTCTGTCCCTCTCCCTTCCTCTCTGTAAAAAAATCAATAAAATATATATTTAAAAAAAAAGAAAACTGAAATTTGATTTTTGGAGCCAATTTCTTCCATGGTACTATTCTTTAAAATATTGTTCTTTACCAACTACGTGGGTACTGGTAACGAGCCAGACCATTCAGGGAGTCAACACAGATCTGAAAGTAAAGGATAATACTTGAAAATTTCATGTAATTATTTCAATAAGTTCCTGAAAGTGTTTATAGCATTAACAGCACTCTGTACATGAGAGATTGCATTCTGTTTATAGAATGAGAACTAAGGGACACACACCAGCCTAACTCATCCAAAAAGGGCCAAAGCAGAGAATAAAAACAACTCCTCACGCAGAGCATTGGGCCCATCCCACAAGAACTCTGCTATTTAATTTAAAGTCTGGCTTGTTCTACTTTCCCATCCAAATACCAAGAGAAAACACGTCAAACAATTCTGCCTTGAAGATTAGAATGGGGCTCCCATGGGGACTGGAGGAAAATCCACTCCTAACTGAAGATAGGCCCTTAAAATCCTAATCTAATTTTCTTATTTGCTGCTTGGCATGTCAGCCTGCTCCTTATAATTTATTCCAGCTGTTTCTCCTGAAAGTATGGTATTCGCAATTTGCTGTGGACCTCAAAAAGCACAAAGAAATGGTAAATCATCAAATGCTGATCACCAAGTCAAAGAAATAGATATTGCTTTTCCTAGGGGAAGACAGAAATGACTATTGCATAGTCGTAGTTTTAAATAATAGATGAAGGCTTCCTTTTAATGCATAAAAACCTGACAATGTCATGATTATATACTTGAAATGTATTACATGTTCAAGTACTAAAATATGAAGGATATAATCTCAGGATATGTTGTTTTCTGAATATGCTAATCTTAATTGCCATGAAATTTGCATTTCATATCACTTTTAGTCTGAATATGAGCATATTTTATCTGAAGCCAGTATCACTCAATTTTTCTTTATTTTGCTATCTTCATCCTTGATTTTTTTTAAAAGACAGAAATCTAATGCTAACATAATAATTCTAAAATTAAAATCATTAATTAAAATTCTGTCATTTTGCTTATCTTTCAGGCTTAAGAATGGATTAGTATATTTTAGCAATATTGGGTTCAAATACAATTAATGTTGAACTTTTATATATTTTCCCATTTAAATGTTCAACCTTCTTTATATTCTTATAGGTTAACTCATTTCCACCTCTTTTTAAAGCACAAAATTAATAGTACTTCCTGACACAAATTATTGTTAAATAAACCTTTCAGACTTATACTATGCTTCTAATTTTGGGTCTGTTTCTTAGGACAAGTTTATTTTTAATAAGATTGTTAAAAGTTAATTTATTTGTATAATGTTCTTCAAATTAAACATACTATTATATTTTGTCACTTAAATTCATAATTTTGTTCATCAACCCTAGGTGAATTGGATTTAATCTGATAATTTTTTAAATGATGAAGGCGTTAAAGAACTCCTTATTTTCTGTAACACTGCTTCTTTAATATTTGGCATAAGTGGGATTTTACTTTAGTGTCTGCTATCCAAAATACAGTCTTAAAATATTAACATAAAATTTTAGGAGACATCATAGATAAATGTCGCCTAATTCAATTCAAAACATGTTTATTGTGCACCTACTATGTGCGGATACAGCAGAAAATACAATTGATAATGTCCTGTCTGATGAAGCTTTACACCCCAGTAGGGCTGTCACAGTAAAATGAGTAAATATATATCAAGTCATTGAAAGTGTTTAAAGAATAAGAGTAGGGTAAAGGAGATAAATGAGGCCGAAGAAAACACTCTTTACATATGGAGGTTTAAAAAGCCTCCTAGTTAGAAAGATGCTCAAACTAAGATCTAAAAGAGGGAAGAAAGTAAACTAAAAAGATACATAGGGGAGAAAATTACAGATGTGGGAAGAAGCAGAGTAAAAGCCCTTCAGGGTGAATGACTATGCCTGGTGTGCAAAGAATATCAAAGACGCCATTGTGGTGGAGTGGAGTGGAGTAGAATCATGTAAGGGGAGATGGTAGAGATGACGGCAGAAGGTTGCAGGAGTGGAAGAGGAATGGGGAGCAGATCATGTTGGGCAGAGTACGAGTTTTAGAAATGTGAAACCATCTGAAGATTTTGAAAGAGAACTGATATCTCTCTCCCATTTTTTAATGCTCTATGGAAAATTGGTTAAAAGGGTAGGTTAGAGCAAAGAGATGAGTTCAGTTGCTACTGAAGTTCTAGACAATATGTGAGGAACCTCAGACCAGCATAGTAGTGGTGGAGGTAGTGAGAAATAGTTTGATGCTAGAGATACTTTGAAGGAAGAACCAAGATGGGTATAGATAGATTGCTGAAATGGAGGTGTAAGAGGGAGAATCAAGAATGACTCCAAATTTTCACCCGATCAACTGGAAGAATGGAATTGCCAGATTTCAAAAAAAAAGAAGAAAGCAGAGGACAAGCATAGGGAAAGAAATTATTAATTTGATTTTACAGTATGTAAATTCCTATTTTTAAAAATTAAAAATAGAACTACCATATGATCCAGCAATCACACTGTTTGGTATATATCCAAAGGAGATAAAATCACTATCTTGAAGAGATATCTGCTCTCCCATATTCATTGCAGAGTTACTCACAATAGGTAAGACATGGAAACAACCTAAGTATCTGTCAACAGATGCCAATACATATATATACATGCAATGGAATATTATAAAACCATTTAAAAATGCTGCCATTTGCAACAACATGGATAGACCTTGAGGGCATTATGCTAAGTGACATAAGTCAGCAAAAGACAAATACTGTATAATATTACTTATAGTGGAATCTAAAAACATTGAACTCAAAAATAGAGAGTACTGTTAGTTGCCAGGGGTTGAGAGGTGGTGACAATGGGGAGATGTTGGCCAAACATGTTGGCACAAACTTTTTATTATAAGATGAGTAAGTTCCAGGGATCTAATATGAATCTAATAATCTAGTCACTATAGCTAAAAATACTGTAATATGTACTTGAAAGTTGCTATGAGAATAGAGCTTTAATGTTCTCAACACAACAACCAAAACAAAAAACAACAACAATAACTATGTCAGGTAAAGTGTATATTAACTAACCTTAGTGTGGTAAACGTAATATACAAGATGTCCCGAAAAATATATATACATTTTGAATAATTATTAATTCCAATAGGTTAAATCTGAAAGGACAGAAACATCAATTAAGCTATCAGCTATTAAGTATATGTACCTTTTTCAGGACACCATGTATATGTGTATCAAATCATCACAGTGTACACATTAAATTTACACAATGTTATATGTCAATTATATCAATAAACCTGAAAATTCAATTAATGTTTTAATTTTTTTAAATTGACAACTGGCCGGTTAGTTCAGTTGGTTAGAGCATGGTGCTAATAGCACCAAGGTTGTGGGTTCAATCCCCATATGGGCCAATAAAAATATTATTAAAAAATTTGATTTGGGACAAATAAAATTGGGATTCTCATTATTCATTCAAGAGTAGATGTAAAAAGGCAGGTGACTATGCAAGTCTGGTATTTGGTAGGAGAAATCTGGACTAGAAATAGAAATTTGGTAACATCAGTGTATAGATGGTAACTGGTTGCGACCGAATAAATTACTCTGGAGGTGAAGGAATATAGAAAAGACAGACAGCTAAAGATTGCATTGAAGAGCCTTGTTTTTGCCAAAAAAGGCAAAAGGTGAGGGAGAATACCCAATTTCAAGTAATTCAGACCATCTTATTTCTTAATGTTAGAGGGCGCTTTTATGGTTATATACAATTGGCAGTTATCATAAGTTCTCTCATTTTCAGAGTAATCAGTACTAATGAAGTTAACATATTATTTATTTGCTTGCTAAGCACCAGCTGCTAGTACCAGCTGATATGAACCTGAACAAAATTAGTTCAAGCATCATGAGAATTGGACTTCCCTAAAGGGAACTGTACCTTTGAATAATGTCTTTTAAGAAAACCCAAAGGCTTTACGCAGCCGTCTGGTGAACAAGAAATCGATAGGGCTGCTCTACAGAGGATTTTGTTCTGATGAAGGCTCCTCAGTACTGGGTTTCTATCATCAGCCTACCAGGCATTCACCTTTGAAATGAGGACAGATTATGTATTCATTTTTATCCCGCTGTAATAATCAAGATAGCTCCAGTGATTCCAAACTCCTGGTGTTAAGACCTTTGTAGTCCCCTCTCCCATTGAATAGGGCTGGCCTGTATAACCAGTGGTCGGCAAACTCATTAGTCAACAGAGCCAAATATCAACAGTACAACGATTGAAATTTCTCTTGAGAGCCAAATTTTTTAAACTTAAACTATATAGGTAGGTACATTGTTATTAATTTAATTAGGGTACTCCTAAGGCTTAGGAAGAGCCACACTCAAGGGCCAAAGAGCCGCATGTGGCTCGCGAGCCGCAGTTTGCCGACCACTGGTATAACCAATAGGATACTGTGGAAATGATGGTGTGTGACTTCGGAGGCTAGGTCATGAAAGACATCAGGGCTTCCACTTGCTTTTTCCTGAATTAGTCACTTTGGAGAAAGCCAGCTGATATGTTTTGAGGACACTCATGCAGCTGTAAAGCAAAAACCACTAGAAAAGGGACTGATGCCTCCTGCCAACAGCCAGCAAGGAACTGAGACCCCCATCAATGGCCAAGAGAATGAGCCATCTTGCAAACAGATTCTCCAGAGCCTTCAGATGACTACAGCCTTGGCCAACAACTTGAATGCAACTGCATGAAAGCCCTTAGCCATTACCACTCAACTAAGCTTTCCCAGATTCTTGATCCATAGAAACTGGAATAACAAGGGTTATTGTTTTTCTAAGCTGCTAAACTATGGGGTTATTTTTTATATAGCAATCCTATATAATAAGAGCCTAATATGCTAAGTGTCTGGTCATCCATTCAACCAATCAAAGAGTAATATGTTAATGATATGCTAAGGCTGCTCAACTGCTCCCTATGATGTGCACTGACCACCAGGGGGCAGACAGTTGACTGGTCAACCAGTCACTATGATGTGCACTGACGATCAGGGGGCAGATGCTCCGACTGGTAGGTTAGCTTGCTGCTGGGGTCCGGCCAATCAGGACTGAGTGAGATGGGCCAGACATGCCCTGGAGCCCTAACATGGTCCCTCCCCGGCTGGCCAACCTCCCACATCCCTCCCCAGACCTGATTGTGCACTGGTGGGGTCCCTCGGCCTGGCCTGCACCCTCACACAATCCGGAACCCCTCAGGGAATGTTGGAGAGCCAGTTTCGGCTGATCCCAAAGGCCAGGCTAAGGGACTCCACTGGTGCATGAATTCATGCACTGGGCCTCTAATCGATAATGAAAACCTCCATAGTCTTTACTTTCCTATACCTTTTTTCCTCTTGTCTACACATTTTATTTGGGGTTTGATTCACTCACAGGAGAATGGAGGTTAAAATCATTCTCAACATTGGCTGCATAAGAGAATTTATTTGAGAAGCTTTAAAAATATGCCCACTTGTTTCCCAACCCCAGAGGTTCTGAGTTCATTAGTCTGGGATACAGTGTGGACATCAGAATTGAGTCAATGTTATGTTCAAACATATGCTATCTGATTACAGATGAGATATGGAGCCAAATATTCACTTCTTTCTAAAAGTAAAAGGCAGCTTTGTTTTATGGATCAGAATGTTCTAGTTATGGATGCTGACAAAAGCATCAGCAATGAAGGTGTATCTGTCATCATTTGCTAGTGACCCATACAGAGCAAATATATCTGTGGCTGGAGGTACAGAGGAAAATACAGGTAGCTATGAACTATTTTCCACCTGACCTCAGCTTACATACCACTTAACACATGCTGCTATGTGCCTACAGTTTCATTAGGGATAACCTGAACACTTTTCTTCTTTTCACCCAAATTTCTCCTGCATTACATCCTCCTCGAGCTCTTACCCACATACATACCACACCCATATCAGTCAAGATACTTTCAGTGGTAAGTACAAGAAAACCCAACCCAATCAGCTTAAAATAAAAATGTACAGAGCCCCAGTGGCACAATTGGTTAATGTTGGTACTTATACATCAATAAAATAAAATGCATTCTCTCTAATGACACAGAGCTCAGAGGTAGGACAGCCCAGAGTTGGTTAATTAAGTGGCTCATTAACATCATGCACACAGGTTCACTCCCTCTGTCTATACTCAGGTGTTCCCCGGTGGACACAGACAACAGCCTCAACTCCAGGCATGAAGAGAAAAGGAGAAGAGAACATCTCTTCCAATATATCCCCTTTTATCAGGAAAAAAAAAAAACATTTACACACACACACACAAGACTTCCCAGATATCACACTGGTGTGAAGACTAAGTTATTTGCTCATTTCAAGCAATCAGGAAAGAGAATAGGAAAATATGATTGCTAAGGCTGGACATGATTTACCCCACAGAACTAAAGTCAGGGTCAATCACATAGTCTCTCTCTCACACACACACACACATGCTTCCTTCACATTATGGACACTGATATATTCCATCAATTGGAATGCTTTCAATTGCCTATAACAGATATGTATCAGTTAGCTATTGTGAGATGCAAAACACAAATATGAAATCTCAGTGGCATAAAACAAAAATCATGTATTCTTAGAAATTGGCAGGTGAGCATTAGACATTTGGTTCTGTTCATCTCAGCTGGACCTGTTCACATATCTGTGGTTCTTTTGATGGTCAGCTAATCTAGGCTGGGTTTGTCTAGGACTAGGTGATGCTGTTGGAAGTCATGGACCAAGCTGGACTTAGTTCCTCACTGCAGGTTGGGCTAAGGTCTATCTATTCCATATGTATTCATTCTGAGGCATGGGCAGAGGAGAAGAAGATACCCAGGGAAGCTTTCTCATGGCAATAACAGAAACACAAGAAGGCAGGTAGAAATGTATGCCTCCTAAGGTCTAGATGCAGAACTACAGACACATTATCCCTTTTACCCTAACCATTGGATATAAAGCAAGTTCATGGCCAAGGCCAAACCAAGACATAAGGACGTGCATGTCAATGGGAAGAACTGCAAAGCCACATGGTAAGAAGTTTGAATATAAGGAGAGGTTAAGAATTGAAGCCAGTATTTCTATCTACCACAGATACTAAATCTGACTTTGTTTACCAAAAACAAAATTATTAGAAAAGTATTGACGACTCACACAACTGATGGAAATTAATGGTTAGGCTTTTAAAAAAATCAATATTTCCAAATAAACAAGAAGCTGAGAGCACTATGATCATGTTTAGTGTAATAATCTGCCAGGAGGCCACCACTTCCAGACACTCTGCTGCTGCCACTTCTGTGAAGAAACTTCCCAGATGTCTTTTCTTTACTCATTCAAAATTGAAAACCCTTGTAGAAGCTCCAATTAGGCCAGTGTAGGTCATTCCCATGCAGTATTATCAGGGTCAGGGAAGAAAGGACCTAACTCTTTACATTTCCATATCAAGAGGTGGACACTGCCTCCACCAAGACTACTCACAGAGATTCTCCCACAATATGAGGGGATGTAGATACCAGATAGAAAAAGACACAAGGTTAAGTGGCTGCACTAATATGATAGGGATTGTGTGAATGGATAAAAGACATCCCATTACAACATCCAAACATCCATTACAAAGGGAAGTACTTCATGCTCAACAACAGGAGGGTGAGTCATTAGATCATTCATGATAAACCATCTGAGGTTTAGCCAGCATTTAAACAATAATTTCAAGCAACAATTTCTTTTGAATCATGAAAGAAAGAAATCTGCTAGCCTTTTAATTATTTCGTGCTACTGAATATACTCAAGGAAATTAAATTTTACACTCAACACTTAAATAATTGAATATACATGCAAAAGGTAGGTACCTCATGCCCAAACATGCTCAGGAAAAATCATTGAGTCTTGAAATGTCCTAACTCACAAGGCTTTTTTATGCTGAGAGATGCACTCTGGTGTGATAGGTGTTCATTTCTACTCATGGCTTTAGGGGATCTATAAATTCAAATAACTATTATTATGCTTAAATAATGTAATTCCACTCAAGAGACATAGACTGCAGTGTCAGATAAGGTGATGAGATGAATGGATTTGGAGGATCTCATTTTTTTCTCTCTAATTCACTTTTGGATATTACCACAATGACAAATACACTGAAAAGAGAGGGCTTAATAAATGGCTGGTTTCATGAAATATTTAGAGTAAATCAAATCTCTATCACAAAACAGCCATTTGGTTGGTGAAGAGAAGTGCATAAGGGGCAGAAAGGAAAATTAGAAAAGGGAAGGGAGGGAAAGAGGGAGAGTCAGGGAAACCAGGAGGCAGGGGGAGAGGAAAAGGAAAGGAGAAAGAGGCAGCTGCCGTCGCCTCTCAGGGCGTTAGGCACACAGCCGTTCTCTGAATCATTCATGCCT